TTCTATAATATATTCTTTGTCTATAAATTATCCAAATTTATGAATATAAAATAATATATTATTTAAATTATATTATAATTTACAAAGGAAAATTAATAATACTATTATCATAACACCGGGTATTTATTTTGTCAACTTTCGCGAAACGGCTCAGTAGGCCATTGCTGACTAAGGAATTTTTCAAACTCACCATAGTTCACCTATGGTATAAACGATTTCCTTTTAAATAAAATAAACTAATAAGTTAAACACCGACAAAACAAAGATCACGTTAAATAATGTATTATATTGATGGGCTTTCTGAATCCAATAAATATTCAGGTATTAATAAAAGAATAACGAACTTTTTCTTTTATAAATATATATACTAAAAATAAAGTTGAATTATTTAAAAAACCCTCTCCAGTCCGATTTCCGATCAAAAAATGTGCTCCACTTGAAATTAAGAGCAAAATTTCTGGTAGAAAACTGTCCACATTTTTGTAATACTGATTCCACTGTATTCCTTTAATTATTTTGTACAGGTAAACTAGTAAATGATGGGTCAGGAAGTAAGTTTATTTATAAAAATAATCAATAAGGTAATAACAAGAAAATTAATTTAGCAAGATATAAAGTAGTTAGGACGTTATTATTACAAGACTACATGATAACAACGAGGTAGCCATTGCCCTATATGTTTGCTATTTAGTTGTCATTATTCGGCACGTTTTAAATGTATAATATATCTAATAAAACGGAAAAGAAGATTTTATGATAATTGATTTCCTACTTAAATGTATGGATTATAGTCGGATTGACACAATTAAGGAGTTTCAGTTTTTAGNAATGAGTTTCGGTTTTTAGAGTATAATGATATAATATATATTTAAACTATGCTATTCACGTGCTAAAAACCATTTCATTTTAACTAAATTGTTTTCTGTGAACCACATAATCATATGAGAGACATAAATATTGCTTGTTAATTTTTTGTTTTTAACAAATATTATTTCACTTAGAAATATGCAAATTGATTTGGAATTGTATAATGTCATTATGAAATTTTTCACATACATAAACTTCATTAATACATACATTTTTTTTATTTTCGTGTAATCTAGGTTTAGTTTTTAGAGGTATTTTTTTAAATTCTTTTAATTATATTTTTAATATTAAATAAAATAAAATAATTAATTTTATAAATGTAGTATTAAATTTTGCCGAACATATTTCATAGAGAACATTGTATTATAATGAATTGTAGAAGAATGTAAAACAATATTGATTAACAGCACTATTGGTTACCCAACGTGTATTTGGTAGAACTCGGTTTCCGCTACTGATCACAGGCGCAAAGTTAGCCTTCTTGCACCATTCAGTACCATTACCACGGTACAAGGCTAGTGGCAAATCAATTGCTGTTATCGCGGCGATCGCCCCGATTCGTTTGCTTCGTCTTCTGTTATCGCACTACGACGTTCCCAAAAGTGCTCGTCATCGCAATTGTATGGTCGCATGTCTGCCGAAGTATTATAATGGATTTATTTTTTTGTCGTTACTGTGTGCGCATTTAGCCACTTGTAGGTACGACCGTCCGTGGTCGCGTAACCGATACATTGTCCTCTTTTGATATAATCATGTGTGCCCTTGTTGTCAGTAGGTACGACCATCGATGTTGACTGTTGTTGTTCGGTACTGTGTGTGCTTTAGCGGCCAGTGGATACTACCGTTCAAAAGTTACCTTTGGCCATTTAGCATAAAACAATTTCTTTTGCATAAAATTAGTTTTACACAAACAACAATAAAGTTTACATGGAATAACTTATACTATAGACGAGTCATCCCATATAACAATAATTCTAGTCATTCAATAAGCTTGTGCGGATCACCTTTTTTGTGGTCTGGTCCTTTTTGCGTTGGATGTTGTATTTGTTTCTGCTACAATTTAGTGAATCTACGGCCAAGTAAACTAATTATAACATAAATATAAAACTCTAGAGCAGCTCCTGTTTTAAACGTCTCAACAATACATATTCCGAAATAGTCAATAGTCTTTGATATAATGCACAATCATGCAATGCACAATCACATAATGTTTAATTAGTTGAATCACTTGGTAGTTAAGTCGTCTGCAAAAAACAATATTCGGATATTTATAACGTAATAATGAACGTTTTCTATATAATATGCTAAGGTTAGAGTTAAATTATAAAATACGAAAAGAAAATAATACCTTTATTGATATACATTTATTTTTACTCAAATTTTAGCACATGAACGACCACAATGTAAGTTTTATTTTTAATTTTTAATGTAGTCAAGTGGTTACCAAATTGCATTTTTTTTTTTGGAGACATAAGCACTCAGCAGAGAAAAATACTAATATTTTTATCTAATAACTATATGTAGAATAATTCTATTAAAATATTTAACGACGAAAGCATATAGTTATCGGATCCACCGGATGTTCTTTTAAAATAATAATCAATATATAAAATTATGTACATAAACATCCGCTCTTTTAGATTAAACATAGAGGAATCTAGATAAATTATGATAGAAGAGAACTAAATCTTTCTATACTTATTTAATCGGGAATTCTTAAATTTTAAATTGAAAAAAAAATATATCATATCTAAACTAATATACCACAGCTATTCACAAATAATTTGTAAAATACCGAAATTATATAATCATGGAATCGACTTCTAGTCTTTAAAATAAGCAGTTCATTATGTGCGCTTATGAATACAATAATACAAATATATAAAGTTAATACCTTCCATGATAAAGATTGGGCTCAATTATTTCGATCATCTGATAGTTAGATCGTCTGCAACACAATACAATTCAGATAGGTATAACATAAAAATGAACGTTTTCTGTATTATATAATAAAATTAGAGTTGAATTAAATAATATAAGAATATAATGGTACCTATTCCATAGTAATATAAATGGTACCAATTTCCGAAAAATATAGAATTTTTTAGTTAAATAATTGTGCTCAATACATTGAATCACCTGATAGATAACATAATAGTACACGATCTCTTTATTATATGCTGAAATCAGAATTTAACAATATTATACAAAACTGTAATGTTACTTATTATTGTTATTTCTTTGTTTTTACTCAAACACCAGCATCTCAAAGACCGCAATGTAAGTTACAATTAAATATTTAAAATTGTCTNTCAAATTTATATTAAGGCGATTGAGAATAGTGTATACCATTATGTATTCTCAATTGTATTATTTATCTATAATTTGTCCGAATGAATGAATATTTAATGATATCCAATGTGTAAAGTACTATTTTTCAATTAATAAGTCCGGGCGGACAGCTCTGTTTTTTTCTTTAATTATCTTACTGTTAGAACCGCACCTCTACTCCCTGACGAAAACTGACTATTGGCCACATAGTATGAAAAAATCACCTTCTAAATAAAACTAATCTCGGCACTAATAATAGAAGAACTCTCATTGATTATCTTAATACATAAAAGTTATTTGAAAAGAAATGCATAAAAAGGAATACTTTCCGTGATAAAGATTGTACTCAATTAATTGGATTACCTAGTATTATTAATATGAACGTTTTCCGTATTATAGGCTGTGATTAGAGTCGAACTATATAATACAAAATTATAACGTTACCTATTTTAGACATCCTTTTTTTTTTTATTATTATTATTCTAGCATCAGAACCCGTTGGTCAACGGCCAGGTATGTTTTTTATAAATATTATCTTATATTCGTCTTCAGGATGTTAATATAATGAGTTAGTTGTCAACAGAAATTCTATTCCAAGTATTTGAATTCGGATATCATAAATTTATGCTCTATAAAAATCATTTGTTAAAAAAATAATTTCCCATAAATTTACAAGTTATAAAAGTAGAAAATTGCATATGAGTAAGCTATAAAAAAAAACACCGGGAAGTTTTAATTTTGTTATAAAATTAAATGTTTCAAAAACTTAAATGTCAATAAAGTGCTATTATTTACGCTAACTTCTGTTTTCTTCCGCTTTATTTATTGTCTACAGATAAATTAGCTAACGTTTATTTCTATGTTATTTCTATAATGATAAATTTCGATTTGTCCGTGTTTTATTTTATATCTTAATACTATTACTCATAACTTTTATATTAAATGGTTTTTCTGAGAAATAATTTTTATAACACTTGACTTTAATAATACTTAAATTTATGATACTCTAATTTATGACACATAACCTTTTAACACTTGACGACTACATTGACAATGATGAAAGAAATGAAGAATGAATGTTGTGGATATTCTCAAGAGTTAAAACCTTATTTAAATAATTGAGACGATACTCCTACTATTGTTTAATATCAAATATTTTAGTTCAACATTAATAATAAATCCATTCTTAATAATAAGTAGTTTTTTTTTTATGATTATCATGTATGATTTAGAAATTATACAATTCAATGTTCATTACGAAAACGTCGTAAAACTTGTACATTCATTTGGTATTATTTCGTAAACTTTTAACAATCAAAATTTTTATTTAAATCAGTAAAAACGTACATCCATTAGCGAAATTTAAAATAAAGTCATTAAAAACGTTGCAACGTTTCACGTATTTGTGGGCGTTAACATAAAAATACTCATTTGTTTAACAATGTATAGTATTCTTTTTATTAATGATAACTTATATAATAATGTACAAAAGAATGGGGTATTTACAAAATTTTCTCGCGGTACAAAATTATGGGGGAAAGATATGATTGTTGGGTGTGCGGTGCGAGGATGGCATATCATCGAGAAAGCATTATACAAAAATAAAGGTATATAGAGACACATGTTTTATACACAATTACGGTATCCAACTGGCGTATAGCAGAGCAACACACTTGACATATAATGGAGAGTGGAAATTCGTGGTAAAAATTGTGAAATAATATGATTGGGAAAGGAGCGAGAAATGATAGTGTCCGGGAACTCGTGGTTCTATACCGAATAACAGAGGCGGTGTTGCTTACCTAAAGTCGGAAGCAGATATTGTCGGCTGGTGCGTGTTGTCTGGCTGCTGTCAGGAAACGGAGTGTGTTTCCGTTGCTCGCGGCAGCGGTATTTAAGTGCTGGGGCGGCGACGGTTGCGTCGGCGGTGGTACTGGTGTTGCTCGTGGGGGTTCTACAGTGACAGCAACGATCGTTGTTGTATTTTTTTGGTAGCGCCGTATTCTGCTGCGATGGTTTTAACCCATTGAGCTCGATACCAGCGTGAAATGCGAAGTATGCGGTATATACACAAATATGTTCGGCTTATGGCCTATGTAACGGACTTTGGTTTGTTACTTTATCGTCCATTTATATATATTAATTTTATTTTTTTTCCGTGTGTAATTGGTGTCATGGCTTTCTCTGTTTTCGGGATGCGACTTGGATTGCATTCCAGAGTGCTACCTTAAATTGACCTTTGGATAGCAGGGACAATGGTTTATCCTTGTTCGTAATTCGAACTTGTTGGTGGGTGTCTTCTTCACTGGCCATCTGTGTGAGGATGTGTCCCAATTGATCCTTCGGAGTTTTCCCACGTACTTTTGTAGCTCTCGGGCAGTTAGTTTTGACCATTGTATCTCATTCGATAGATCCGTCATGGCGTCTCGCTCGTTCGGGGATCTACGTTCTCCTCTTTGTACTAAGCTTGTACCGGTGTTTCAATTCCTGCCAGGTTTTCGAGTTTATAATCGTCTGGGTTTTATCCCGAAAACTCGTTTATCACCCTGTCAATGTCATCGAGTATTCCGTCTTCGATTTCTAAATGACCTAAAGATAAGTAGCTATCATTGAATGGGCGAATATTATTGACATGTTGTATGATACTCTCTTTCGAATTACGCGCATATACGGTGTAGTTATTGGTAATATGGTAAATAATATAGGGTCTGTCATATTTTAGGAATAGTTTTTTTATTGTTTTATTAATTGCTGATGACTGGGGATGGATTTTTATTATTATTTTTTATTCTACTTGATACTGTATAGGTCGTGTGAGTCCTCAACCTATCCGGCGTTTTGCAACTTCGGTTATTCTGTGTCTCACATGGATAGTAACTTTATGGCGTCCCGGTTGTGGTGTTTCTTGTGTGAATTCTATGAGGTCCTCAATAGTTCATTTACTGATTTTTCCTGTCATTACTTCGGTGGCGGTATGTTGGGTAACCTCAGAGTGGGTTTGGTTGATGCATTGTTCGATGTATCCAAACCAATACGCCCATGTCGTGTGTCGGTGATGACATAGGGTTCTCAACATGTGGATGATTTTCCGGTTCGTTCTCTCCACTGGGTTTGATTGTGGGTTATATAGGGTGATGAAGCCCGTTCTGATGTTCATTCCTTGCATTGCCCTTATTCATTTTTCGGTGGCGAACTGTGGTCCGTTATCACTGATAATCTTATTTGGTTTACCATATTATGGGATAAAATCTTTTCGAATTTTGAATAAAATGGAACGGGTGGTTGCTTTTCGTAATGATTATATCTTGGTGAATTTGGAAAAATGATCGATCATAGTTAACATAAATTGTACCCCACCGCAACTGGTTGGTAACGGTCCGATGAGATCAATAGCGATTAATTCTAATGGGGCACTATTACATCACTATACTGTGGGCAGGTCTATTGGTAGAGAAGTTCACTGATTTGGTCTTTTGGCGTATCTCGCATATAGTGGTGTATTTAGTGATCCTGCGGTGCGTGTCAATGATATAATTTTGTATGTTTTGTATAATCCCAGATGGCCATAATGTTCATGCATCAAACTGTGGATATGTTCGGATACGGATAATCCGAACGGAATCACCTGATATTAATAATTTCTTCTCTGGAATAAGAACGCTGTGTAATGCCGATCATTCGCATGGAGTGGCACTTGCCAGTATTCCGTGCGGAAGTCCAACGTACTGATATACTTTATGTTACGGAATCTAGACAAGACGTGGTCTACTGGCTCTGGGCATTCTCTGTCGGGAACGATGTGTTCGTTTAATTTCCGCGCGTCTAAACATATCCGGACACTTCCAACCTTTTTGTAAACTGGCATTAAAGGATTAGACCAAGCTGATCTAGATCTTTCAATGATTCCCCATTACATCATCTCGTCGATCGCATTTTCGATTTGTTCGATGCGCCTCATGGGTATCGGATAAGTTCGTTGGACTATAGGACGGTCAGTATCAGCGTATATCCTCCCTTCGAAGTTATTTGCCCGTCCCGGTCTGAACCTAAATACTGTGTTGCGGTATTCTTCTAACATGTTCTGGTACTGTTGCTGTTGTAGTGGTGTTAAATAAATCTGATGGTGTACGGTTGGCGGTTGTTTTATTTCGAAAGTTTGTTGTATTACCACTTTTGATGTGCCACCTGTATGTTCATGGGTATAGTTACCGTAGCCTGGTCAGTTTTAAACTCCATTGTTAATTGCTCGTAACAAATGAATGCATTATGTTGTTTCAAGAAGTCGGATCCGTTTTCGTTTAACCCTTGAATCACTAGCAATACGGCGGGAAATCGATATATTCCTATCTTGATTTGGCAGTATGTTTGTTGTTGTACTACCGTCATATTTTTTTTCCTATGGCATTATATATCTTGACCCCGGTAACTGGGAGTCGTGGTATGTGGGGAACTTATGCTTGGATGTGGTCGAAAGTTTTCGAGGAAACACATGATATCTGGTTTCCTGTGTCTACCAAAAAATGTACTGTGATGTCTTCAATGGTTATAGCGATCCGAGGGCACGTGTTTCACTGTATATCGGTGTGCGTCTGTTCGAATAACTCTTCATTTGTAAGTTCTTCGTATGTAATTGGCTGGTATACTGACATAGTCTGTATGTGTTATTCATCTGGTCTTTTTGCTCGTCTTGTTCTTCGATCGTGATTTGTTGGATAGGTTGTTGAGTATAAGCCCTTTTGTGTGTATCCATTGTTTCTATTCGGGAATTGTTGTTGAATCGTGGCGACGTACGTTCTCCTAGTTCTAGTAAAAGGTATTGTTACCATTAGTTTTAGGGTTTTCTATTTTATTCATATCTTTTCGATTTAATAACTGATATGCAGTGGCGTATGTTTTCTTAGGCATGCTTGTTAACATCGCCTGGATGTATCCTGGAAAATGGAGGGCTATGCATGTGATAATTTGTTCTTCTGATACAATGGGGGCGTCAAGTTGTCTGATGCGTTGTGCCCATTTGCTGAAATAGTTCCGATAGTAACTTATGTTCAGTATTCATGAATTGGCTCCATACTTTTAATTGAAGCTCGTTGAGCCAATATTCGTCTAAGAACATTTGGACAAAGTTGGAATAGTCTTCACACAAATAACTTATTGTATTGTATCATACAATTGCATTTCCTTTCAAGCTGATTTCGATTAGCACCGTCTTGGTTCGGGGACCCTTTATTTTATAAAATATTTTTCGAGACGCGCTATGTATGCTTTCGGGTATTCGTTCTGTTCGCTGTCGTTAAAAGTTAGCATTGTGTTGTTCGAGTGATATCCATTTCCGGGTATCCTCGTAGGTATGTTGGAGTCGTGAGGCCGGTAGTTTTGTGTTATTGTTTGATTAGTTCTTGCTTCTATTTGTTCGATTCGATCAAATAATCCTCGAGCCCATATCGGTACCGTGTCTAGTGGCGATGTTTGTCTACCCGTCGGGGTGGTTTTATTACTTCTTCGGGGCATGGTGATGCTGGATTAGGCGTTCCAGTAGATTAATATTTGGATGGTTTTTTCAGGTGCCTGCTTCTCCAATCCCTGTTCGGGCGCCAATGTTAAGTTCCACGTATTTGTGGACGTTAACATAAAAATACACGTTTGTTTAACAATGTATAAAAATTATTTTTACTAATGTACAAAAGGATGGGGTTTTTACAGAATTTTCTGGCGGTACAAAAATTATGGGGGAAAGATATGATTGCGGGGTGTGCGGTGTGTGGATGGGATTTAATCGAGAGAGCAAAATACAAAAATAAAGGTATATAGAGACATATGTTTTATATACAATCACGGTACGCAAAGGGCGTATAGCAGAGCAACACACTTGACATATAATGGAGAGTGGAAATCTGTGGTAAAAATTGTGAAATAATATGATTGGGAAAGGAGCGAGAAATGCTAGTGTTCGGAAACTCGTGGTTCTTTACCGGATTGCTGAGGCGGTGTTGCTTACATGAAGTCGGAAGCAGATATTTTCGGCTGGTGCGTGTTGTCTGGCTGCTGTCAGGAAACGGAGTGTGTTTCCATTGCTCGCGGCAGCGGTATTTAAGTGCTGAGGCGGCGACGGTTGCGTCGGCGGTGGTACTGGTGTTGCTCTTGGGGGGTTCTACAGTGACAGCAGCGATCGTTGTTGTATTTCTTCGGTGGCGCCGTATTCTGCTGCGATGGTTTTAACCCATAGAGCACGATACCAGCGTGAAATGCGAAGTATGCGGTATATACACAAATAAGTTCGGCTTATGGCCTATAACGGACTTTGGTTTGTTACAATGTTTATCAGCCATCGTAAAAATATATACTATCCAATACTATATAAATAATAATATCTTTCTAAAATTAATAAAAAAAAAAAAACGTCTATATCACAATAATGATACTAATTAACTTCTCCTCGTTGTCATTACTATCATCAAACACAACGAATATGTCGATTATCTTATAGTACAGTCGTTTAGACTAACCTTTTGAAACGAAATATTATGCTGATGTATTGAGCAAAATAGAATAATGAGCGATTTGTGTAATATGTATATGCATATACAGTAAATTATTTGAATTATAATGTTACGGATTATTAAAATAGTGGATTCGACTTAATATTGGTACTATTGGACTAGTTATATTTGCGCGTAGAAGGCATTTGTTCATGTTAACTGAAATAAGTATAGTATACAANATTCCTTTAATTATTTTGTATAGGTGTGTATGTAGAAGATGAGACAGGAAGTAAGTTTATTATTATTAATATTTAATAAAGTCCTCAAAATAAAGTTAATTTAATAAGATATAAATTAGGTACTATTTTATTACCGTACAAGATTATATGATAACAATGAGGTAGCTATTCCCCTATTGAATTTGCTCTATAATTGTCATTAATAGGTAAGTTATGAATGTATAATAAACATAACAAAATGGAAAAAAAGATTTAATGATTATTGGTTTTCTACTTAAATCTATGGGTTAGAGCCCGATTGACACACTTAACAGTTTTCGGTTTTCAGAGTATAATGAAATAAATAATTTATAAACAATGCTAATCGCGTTCTTAAAAAAAATTGTTTTTACTAAATCGGTTTCTGTAACCAACATAATAATACGAGAGATATGGATTTTGCATGATTTTTTTTTTTTTTAACAAATAATAATTCACTTATGAATATGAAATTTTATTTGAAAAGGTATTATATTATTATGAATTTTTTCTCATATATAAATATTGTTAATACATATGATATATTTTTTTTTATTTTTCGTATAATATAGATCTAGTTTTAAGAGGTATCGTTTGTATTATTTTAAATATATTTTTAATAATAAATAAAATAAAATAATTTGTTTATTGTATGTAG